TTTCATGTTTATAAATAGAGGCTCAACCTTAAAAGGAAGAACAGGAAAGCGAGATGCAGTTTGGCGATTCGAAAGGGGGGGGGGCATATTGCACATTTGCTATTTCCCATCAACGTGTCGATCCATCCAGAGAGCTATTTCATGAGCTTACTAGAGTTGACAGGATTTCCCATGGCGGCTCAGTGAGCTTGCTCCAGCTTCAAATTTGCTTACAGGTTTTAACAGAAAGACTTGTAAACCGAAACTGGTGGAGCAGAGTGCAAAATGCCCCCCCCCCCACCGTCGCCAATGTGACGGAAAGCGGTATTGGGGACGGATCCTTTTCAGAGAACAAAAACTTCTAGTTAACCTCTCCATAAAGGTGCAAATCCTCTATGGGAATGTAGCGCGTAAGATACACCATGATGCTTAACTGGTGTTGAGCACCTTAATCTTGACAAAGGTTTAGAAACAGTAAAGCATAGTGGAGTTCCTAGAGTTGGTAGTCCGCGAGTGTGAAACTCTTTCAGAGGGAATACGAGTGGATAATTGATGTACAAGAAGGTCGTTGCTACCGAGCGATTCCACAATGGCGATTTAATTTCACTCCTTGTTGGAGTTTCCCTGTTGAATGGGAACAGCATCCGTTGCTCTGGTCTCTATGTTGCTTTTACAACGTACGTGCTAAGCTTACGAGGAACATCTGGACGTATCCCTGTCATCTTTGTCGCGCAGGATCTTAAATACATTATTTGTGCTGTGGATAACACTTAATGCGCTATATGTCAAAGTTAGGATACAACGAATCCTTCAAATTGTAATCAAAGCAGGTAGTATAACGGCGCTGTTCGGCTCGGGAGGGGCATTCGGGCATTCTGCACTTTCGCTACTTTCTGCTCCTTCCTGTTAAATTACACGTTACACTTCGGTGAGATCTGAAAAATCTCGAAAAGTGTAAGCGAAGCCCTTGCTGTTGCTTGGCTTTGTAGAAATTTACAGGTCCCCACAGGAAGCTGTAATCGATGTAAAACATTAAAATCCCTCTCCAAGCAGTACCGCGGCAATGTACCTATTCCTATAAAAATCATCCGTGCCGGGATCCGCATGTCCGCAACTCCAGTGATTCAGACGTTCATGTCGGACGGCTGCTGAGAGCGCTCCGCTGCTAACCACTGAACCGCTACAACTTCTCTTTCAGTCATTCCTGCCCAGGGTATAGCATCGTGATAGGTGAAATGGTGGTGTAAGTACGACCCCTCCCCCTCCGGAAAAGATCCTGGTGCGACCCCTACCCCCCTTCCACAACACCTACCTACCGAATTCCCCACATTCTTCAATTTTCGACGAGACAATTACCGTCAAGCGCGCGGAGGAGGATATATATAGTACACACGAAACAGGAAAAATCTCGCGAAAAGCCAACAGCCAAATGTTTAGAAATTTTTTTCCAACGCAGCAAATTTCCCTCGAAAACACATGAGACCCCCCCCTCCCAACGACAAGATACAACCTCCTCCCTACTCCCTTCCCAGCGGAAAAGTACGACCCCCCCCCATGTGTTTCCACACAACGGTACTGTACCTCTGTTCGCTGCTTAGGTTGGGTCCATTCCTTACTATTTCTGGGGAACACTGGAGCTTCTTTCTTGCTAAGCGGTGTTAACTCGTCCACCCTATTACTCCTCCGGCCAACCCTGAAATAAAACCTACTGGCAAGGGTTTGACTGTCTTGATCTCACTCATCTCTCTGCTCTTTCTTCTCATCTATCAAGCGGGCCAGTCTCATTTTGAAATTTCACTTTTGAATCTCCCTACTTAGCCGTGATATCGTGAAATATGCATTTGAGCTGTTCGAGCGAGTTACTTGAAGTGCCTAACAAAGCGAATTCACGAGGATGGCAGACTTTTTCGTTCACAATTTGTTCACAAGGCGATTCGAGAGCGTTGTGCCCTCTGTAATGGGCCCACAGCGCCCCAGCTAGGAGAAAATTCGATTTTCGTGAATTTGTCACGTCACTTCTATCCTTATACTCTTCCTTTCCGAGCAACACAACTTCCATCCTCAGTAATCTATTCTGTCCTTCAAAAAGGATGGGTAGTTCTCCCGAGATTTCGTAGTCTCTATTCTTTTTATTTAGTCATTTATTCAATTATTCAAAGGCATTTTGGCACGATGATTTGCTCCCGGCCAAAATGCTGGTAGGGCGCTATATAGCGTGGGGAAATGGCGAAAGAACGGAGTGAAACGGTCAAAATCCTTGCGAAGCAAGAACCTCCGTTCTCAATTACTTAAAAAATCGATTTTGGACGAGTTTCCCGTAGATATCTTGCTAATAACCGCTACCGAAGGTACGCCGCATATGTGTACTCATATATCCATGCAGCATCACGGTCGCTTCATACCAATCCCTTCGCTTCATAATTTGCTTAGCAAATGAATCAATACGAGCGTCAGGAACGGTCGTCCATCTGTGGGTGGACGGGCGTTCGGTCGGCATGTTGTAGCTTTATAGATGTAGATTTATAAAGGCACTTTCTTCAGGAAAGGCGCTATGCAGCGCCTGCTCAGGGTCGCGGAATTCCATCCTGCCAGGCGTATTAATCCTACTCGTCTTGGGGATTTATCGTGCCAACTGCCTTCTAATACCACCGGAACGGCAAGCCAGTGTTGAACGGCAGTATGATACCTATGTTTTCCCGCTAAGAATAATCCATCCTCTCGGGATTCCAAATTGACAAATAGTGAGATACTTGACATTAACGGCCTAATGCAAGGAATGCGCCAGGCATTAGACCTCGGTTCGGATTTGCGGTTGCGTTTGGTATCTTCTATGTAAAATGGTGTGCGAAGTTCATTTTAGGGTTAGTGTCTTTATGTCCTCAGCATGTCTTGGACCAGGTTCCCCCCAAACATCCAAACACGACTCGGGCGAAGATTTCTCAACGTATAATCAACCCCGGCCGTAGCACATAGCCCTGGACCCTCGCAGCGAGAGATCGTCTGGTTGACATCTGCCCCGTAACCGATGGCGCGCCGGAATAACCGCGCTCTAGCTGCACTGCTGTCGCTCCCATTATGAAATCCTTGAATCGGGATTTGGGTGACCCAATTGTACTCGACCGATGCTACCATCTTGTCAGCACTTCGGCACGACAGGGGGCACTGTATACAATCTGTTCTCCTGAACTTATAGTTTTATCAAAAGCAATCCGCTCAAACGGCACATTGCCGATGACCTGATTATCATTCGCCAGACGCAGCACACTTTTTCGCATTCGTTGCAAGAATCGTACAACTTTCTCGCCCATTTCATCAAATAACTGCGTTTCGTCGAATTTGAAACCATCGATTTCTGTCAGAACCTCAAGTATCATTGTTGTAGAGATCGAGATCAGCCAAGTTTGAATGCCTGCATTGTGAGGCTCCGTTCATACTTCGCGACAGCATCACCAACCGCCACCAGCGATCATCGACGTCTCGAGCGTCCGTCAACATCAGCGACTAGGAAGGTATAGATATCGAACAACAGCGTTTACCAGTCAACGACCATCAACTTCTCGAGGGACTGGGAAAGTATGGATATCGATCTAGCATCTGCGAGCGTCCACCAGCGAGCAGGAGTGCGGTATTGTGTGATAGTGCGGTGCAGTACACACCCCACAGTTTCAGGACTCCTAATCCAACTGTCTCCTCCCTGCTTAGTCCCCATACTCTACCAGTAGTCTGCTACCCTCACTTCCCCATACTCTCTATTCCTGTTCACTGATGGTCGCTGGTGGACGCTGCTAGACGCCAGATCGTATCCATACTTCCCTAGTCCCTGGAGACACTGATGATCGCTGGGGGAGGATGGTGGCCGTTGCTTGACGTTGCGTTCGCTAAATCCATTTCCAAACTTTCCTAGTCGCTAATGCTGACGGACGCTGTTAGTCGTTGGTGGATGGTGCCGCAAAGTATGATCGCAGTCTAACGCGACGACGCGCATTACAGCGCGTCACAGCGCATCGACCCCGGAGTCTGATCGCTGCCTCCGGCGACGATTCTTCTTTTTCTCGTACAGCGACCTATACCTGTTTCCTTTTCGCTCGAACACCGATTCTCCTAAAACGCCGAATCTTCCAGAACGCCGGTTCTCTCAGAAACGATCGGTTCGCTCGCGATGCGACTGTCATCTACTACTTATGCGCATGTGGGACAAGAAGAATCGTGAGAATTAGGCACGTTCAAATGAGCCCTGTTTTGATGACGACCTAAAGCGTTCGCCGAACGTGTATAGAAGTCCAGACGCAGAAAATAACCCAGAAAGTGTCTCAATTAAGGAGCAGGAGAACGAAAGGGTTGGCACTTCAAAACGCGCTTACAGCAACTGTTGCACCTACAGTTGTACGCGACGTCGCGGGGTGACCTCTCGCTCCATTAGGCTGCGTTTATACTTTGCGGCAGCGTAGCGTAGCGCTTCCAGCGTACGCCAGCGGCAGTGCCGGGGAGAGGATGGATATCGATCTAGCTTCCAGCGTTCACCAGCGTTTCGCCAGCGTTTCACCAAGGCGGTGTTTAATCGGGTGCAGCGGCAGAGGCACGTTAGAGGACTATCGTGGCCGTAAGACGCGCCACGTCAGGCATGTTATTGTAGAGCTGAGGTGCGAAGTGAGAAGGCGCGGCAATTCGATTGGGTGTTACGCCTCCTGCTCTCCATAGTCTCAGCTCCTCCTGCGCTGTAAACGCTAGCAAAACGTCGAATTGAAACGCTAGCGTTACGCTGGTGACGCTGGGAACGCTAGATCGATATGCATCCTCTCCCCGGCACTGCCGCTGGCGTACGCTGGAAGCGCTACGCTACGCTGCCGCAAAGTATAAACGCAGCCTTACTACTGCTGACAACGCAACGAGTTAGGGCGAGTAGGATCACGGCTTCCTATACAACAATGAAACAGCTTACCTTTTCAATGGACAATTTCCTCCAATTTTCCCAGCAAGTGTCCAACTCATTCTTCGTATACTCTGACCTTAATTCGCGCATATTTATTGGCGCGGAAATCATCAACTGCAGTCAGTTTCATTGCTACCAACTGACAGCTGTGTTCATGACTGGTTGTGATCGCGCAGGGGTTTTCGGTGAGAGGCCTACAACCCTCCACCAATCACCTCATGGCCAATTAGGGTAGCGCTCATATTCTTTTTCCAAAATATAACACTATCCGAAAAAAAAGTTCACTGCGGGTACGGTCGATTTTATCGTTGGTAAACGGGGTCGCGCCGCCTACGTCGCGCGCGGCGTAGCATGACGACAATTACGAGGTGCAGTTTGTCGCGGGCGGGGGGGGGGGCATATCGCTTATCCATAGATGGGCGGACCCACCTAGGTAGCTGTTTCCCAGGGTTGAGATTTGTAAACCGGAACTAGGGAAGCAATGGTAGTACAAAATGCCCCCCCCGTCGACAAACAGCACCATGTCAGAGTTGCACTACCGTACTCATGCAAGTTCTTGATGGAGCAGGGGATCTGATCTTGTTCATGACGTAGAGAAATGAGATGGATCCCTTTGATAGTTCAAAAGTCTCGTATGCAAAGGCTGGGCGTCGCAGGTTACGCCCACCTACGGCGATCCACGATAGAATCCCAGTTAATTCCTGTAAAGCTATGCCACAAAGCACAAGCTTCGTTCATCCTTGACAAGAGTCTGCAGGTCTCACCAGGGTAAGTCGTGCAGTTTACCCAGGATCTAGCAGAAGAAACTGACGAAAGTGTACAGTCCTCCCCCTAAAGCGAAAAGTGCCGGTGTCAGGTGCGTGGCATTCGCAGCAAGACCTAATTTTTTTCAACGTGGCAATAGGAATGTGTGTCGAATGGTGCAGCTGTCAACATTCATACTGCTATTCGAATTGTTGGACACAATCTCCTCCTTCATCCGCCTCTGCAGCCCGTCTTTGCACAGGGCAAATCGTCCAGATCACTGTTCATCTTGACTGGCGTACTTGGTCCACCTACAGGGGCAAGATGCCAGAATAGACAATTACGTACGGATGACATAATTACGCATGCTAGTCTTCTCCTGAACTAGTCTTCGACTTCTTTCACTTCCACGATTCATTCCCATCACTGCTTGGCTACTTATGGTTAGAGTACCGCCGACTCATTAACGCTGCAGCTCCACAAAAATGCTTACCGTTGGCCACTTTCGTTCGTAATTCAGCGTCTATGCTGCCTTTTTGCCAACATAGTCACACCAGTTACATGAGTACAGATGAAGAGCGGCCTGGACGAGTTTTCCGTAGCAGTATGACAGCTGACAGTTGCGCCATTCGTCTTCCTGAGTCACTGGTGCAGTGGGTCAAGCCACCTATCTAGGAAATACTCATGTTCGCGTTGCTGAGACGGGAATGTTCTGCATGACAATCCTCTCTTGCCAGCACTTATCTCTATTCTCTTTAGTTGAAAAGATTAGGTTCACCAGTTGCAGGACAAAGTTATCGTTCCCGGCTTGTCTCTCGATCCACCACTGTTTATGAAAATTATGGTAAGAAGGGACATACTTATGGTGGTCGTGTACCCTGTCCAACATGCTTTGCATATGCTCGAGTGCTTCCATCGCTATTGAGGATACCTCGTCATCTTTACCGTCACCAATCCTTCTTGCTGCTTTTAGCAACTCGTCCAACATGATTGCCACCTGAACTGGATAGCAATAAACTAGGCACTTTGGCATTGGTGTTGTCTCTTTGGGATGTATTCGACCCTAACTGGTGCAACAAACTGGATTGTGGACGCGATCCACCCACCTTAGGCAGCGTTCAGACTTCGATCAAGTCGAACGCGCGACCGAAACGCCGCCGTTGCGAAGTCTGAACGCTGCCTTATCTATTATGGAAACTACGCCGAATTTCAAGAGAATGAGTATCAGGCATGACTAGTTACCAGGGAAATGTGTAACTGCTGCCGCTCATGAAAGAAAAACCTCCACTCCCAAGGGTTAGAGACAGTTCCACGTCGATCGCATGGTGGTGTTGGTCCTACCGTTGTGCTTTCCTCACTGGCGCACATCCTCCAAAGAGGGTGAGGAGGACGTTGGCATAACGGGCCATGGTAGTTCCGGCTCCTCCCATGCGACGATCGTGGGACGTCCCGTGTAACCGGCCAATTTCCTCCTCACATTTCATGCCATGAGCAGCCCAGTCATAATCTGCACTATCGAGCGAGATATTTAGGGACGTGAGTTATATCCTTACTTTCATGATAGAATTGCTTCTCTCTATCCGCGCGTCCACATTTTCCCACAGTCCAGGAACGTCAGCCATTGGTTTATGGTTTCCCCATGGCATGGAGAAGTATTTCCGATCGTCGTGATCTGGTAAGGCCTAAATGGCATTATGATGTGAAGATGCCGATGTGGCCAGTACTTGTTTTAGTTTAGAAAATAGATGGAGAAACGTTTTCAAATGAGGCGGTCATCTCGAGTGACCCTGTGAAACTTCATGTAGCAAGAGGCGTGCAAAATAGCCAGTATTTCCTAGCTATTTGTATCGTCCTGCTGCAGCACTTTCACATTAAAATCGGA